GGCACTGAAAATATTCTGGACTGTTTTTTAATAGCAGAATCTCTATGGATAAATATTACAAATATTGATTTAATAATTTTCAACCGTAAAACCAAAGAAAATTGTCATTAAACGTTTAAAAACAAAGTTAGTAAAATTTCAAATTAAACTAAATAAATTAAAAAATAAAATAAAAATAAATATTTCATATAAAAACCGCTAGCAAGTACCACAATCTCTCAGCAAAGCCAGAAAACTCCCCCAAGCAGGGCTCCAATCGAATACCAAAGCAAATCCACACCCATATCCGAGTGGCTCCATATCCCAGGCGATGCATCGATGAAGAGAGGAAGAGGATGGATGATCGGAAAATGCAATGTTGCCAGCAACTAATAACAGTAAACAGTTGAACTACTGGCCAAGATTGATTCAGTGATTGCCTCACATCATCATCGTCATCGTAATAATCATCGTAATCATGATCTCTTGGTGGCAATCAAAGGGTGGAAGGGAAATCCAATGCAATTCCCCCGACAACAGCACGCAAAGACGACTGACTCCTGAGCGACGACTGTCTCCAGTGAGTTGGCTTGGATCACTCCCAGCTTGTGGCAGCCACCAGCAGCCACCAACAACAGCAACAGCAAGAGCAACAATCTGACGATGACGGCGACACATGCTATGGGTACATAGTAGAATAAAAATTACTTCCTGATTGTGTTACATGCACCCATGGACCGACGGACCGGTCTCCACAGTCTACAGCACTCCTCCTCCTCCTGCTGCTCCTCCTCCTCCTCCTGCTGCTGCTTCTCTTTTTGAGAATATTGCTTCTTTTCTACATTCGTCTCTCGTGTACATACAAAGTGGTTAGTGCCTCCAAGGCTGAAAGGAGCTGAACGGACAGACAGCAGAGGGAGGGGGGGCAGATCGGTGCCGCGTTGCGTGGGCCAATCTGGGGGATGGGAACACGGCAAGACCCCCCGCCCCGCGCCAGACATGATCTCAAAAGAGCCAGAAACACGAGATTCATATCCAGCCGAAATCGAAAAAGTGTCAATGTACGCAAATTTACAAAATGTTATGGTTGTTTTTTTTTTTTTGGCCATTGTCATGGCTATTGTCATACTGGCACGTGTTGGAATCTTTGATCTGGGGATCAAAACAGATCTCTAGCTCCAGAAGTTCTCGCTCTGTCTCTGTCTGTGGGGCTCTCTTTTGTGGGGCACTTAAACGTTCGACCCCCGGAGGCGGCAATGGGGCTAGCGTTTTTTTTTTCTTTCTTTTTTTGCCTGTCATTTTTCTTCATGTTTACTTCTATTTTTTTTGCGCTTACTGCATTTTGTGCGGCATTTACGCTCCACGCTCCACGCTCCATGAGATCTATCTGTCGGTTTTTGGAGCTCGAAGTTTGAGCCTCAGTTTAGTGTCAGAGCACCGAAAAGCCCAAAACCGAAGCCAAACCGAAGGCAGGCTCTGGCACTGGCTCTGGCACTGGCACTTGTCGTGATTTGTTTAGAAAAATGTTGGCTATTAATTTGCTGCCTTGAGTAACACTTGTTATTTGGCTTCGCATTTCGTATTTCGCATAATCTTGTTTGACCGCCTTGTGGTGTGTGCACTGTAGCTGGAGCTGGAGCCCCCCTATAGCCCCATAGATAATCTTTATGCGCGGTGCCCGGAGTCGGAGACGGAGACGGAGTCTACGAGTCGGCCATACAAATGGGTCTCGGCTTTTAAGAGTCGATCGTCTCTGTGTGTGTGGACTGTCGTTCTATGTAACATGTGTTCCATGTGTCTTTTTCTGTTATGAAACGAGTCCACAAATATTCGTGAACTTTGCTCAAGGGGGGGATCAAAAATGCCAGCAAAATGTGTAAATTACAAAGTTTTTAATGAAGAAATATGAGTAAAAAAACAACCAATTGGGATTAAGATAGGTGTAAGAATTAATAGATAAATTATTCATGGAATTTTAGTTATTTTTATTATTTTTTACTTTTTTTAAGACACTAATCACAAAAATGATTGAATACATACATTTTTAAAGATGTATAGATACAATTTTACATGGAATTTTATTTATTTAATATTTTAAAATTTTATTTAAGGCACTAATCACATAACCAATTTAATCTATACATTTATATAGATATATAGATACAATACATAGAAGTTTAATTATTTTTATTTAATTTTTTTGTTTTTATTATATGTTTTCTAAAGCACTAATCACAAAAATAATTTAATCTATACTTTTGTACAGATAGATAGACATAAAGATATAAAAGACATAAAGATATAAAAAAAAATTAATAAAAAAGTGCCATGTATAATTATGGCACTTTTTTTATTAATTTTTTTTGTTGTTAATTATTTTCTATTTTTTTTATTATTTTTTAAAATTATATTTAAGGCGCTAGTCACAAAACAAATTTAATCTATACATTTGCACACACAGTTTTAATGCCAAACATTTACTAAAACGTAACTGATTTTTGTTTTAGCAAAAAAGTAATTATCAGAAAAATACCGCAACCGTAACTCCCATTCCCATTGCCATTCCCAAAAGTTCAACAAACCTAATCATCTGATTATGGCCACCACTCATTGAACAAATAGATCATAGAGAAGAAGCCCCCCACCGCCCCGCCAACAAAGTGGTTACCAGAGCAGAACACACATTACATTTTTCCCCATTGGGAACCCCACACCATTCCCCTCCGATTTGAACTTTAAAATTGATTGTATAACCCCTTGATTATAACTTTATTTATCGGTATATTTCACAACATCTTTAATAATAGATTCCCATAATGGATACATTATCAGTGTCTGTGGTGGATGTTCCCATCGGAGTAGTGGTGGTGGGGGAGGGGGCTCCCCCGCCCATCCGTGCAATTGCATAATCACTGCATCGGTGCCGCGGCGTGGCGTGCATCCGTCAGGTTAATTAGTAAAATACCTGGTGACCAGGCACGTATTGCCATTTAAACAGCATTTTCTGACTTTTTTCCTCATTTTTTTTATGATTAATCTCCACCTACTGCCGGCAACCGGTCGGGTCCGTCGGTGGCATGTTATTGTTCGATCGGAGAGAGAGAGCGGGGGAGGGCGTTAAAGGGAGGTTGGGGAAAATGAGCTTGTAGGAGGGGGTGGGGGGGGGGGGAATGTTTTGCAAACTAGACGAAACTTTGATGCTCTTGAAGGGGGGCTTTTTATTAGAGGTGATCATGGGCTGTAGAGTTCTTTAATGCAAAGTATTATTATGTGGTAGTTCTTTAAAAGAAAGATGGAGTGAGAAAAGAGGCCTATGCTACTTAAGAATTATTGGGATATTCATAGGAATAACATCTGTGCTGGTACAAAACTTAGGAACAGATCAAAGATCAAGCATGAAGCTTTATTTAGTGGGAATTTTTTAAGAAGATATAATTCTATGTATAGAATTGTAAGCGCACATGGAGAAGTAACTTGTATTCATAGAAAAAGCGTATTTTGTAGTCAAGTTAAGGACACATCACTGTAGTAATGCCTATGATGATCTCATAATTTTGCAATCTCTCAATGAACCCACTCCCAAGTGCCCCTGAAGGGATCCCTTAAGGAAAACCCTTCGCAAAAGTAATCAAAAGTAAATACATCATTCCGAACCACTGAATAAATGGATCGTTTCCTCCAAAGTGTACTCCCTTCAGCCGTTCGGAGGGGGGGGGGGGGGGGGGGGGGGGGGGGGATGGGGGGACTCTGGGCCTCTCCCATTTCTGTGTGCGCCTATTGTGCGCCCTAGCCAATCGACCAATCGATTACTTCCTGCATTTTTAAATGTCTCTACCGTCCCCGCTCCCCTCCTCCTGCTGGCTCCCCGGAACCCTGGCTGCCTGGCAAATTAATCAAGCGTGTGCCAAAAAAAAAATGAAAAAGACTTGCAGCCGAAGGAAGGAAAAGAAAAGAAAAAAAAGAGTTATAAATGAAAAATGCTGGACAATTGCACGGTTCGCTTACAGTGACTAATCGATTTTTGGAATTAAGTTGCGCCGCTGCGGAAAGGAAAGCACAACTTGCAACAGCCACAGACACGGACAGACGGACGGCCGGATGGACGGACGGGCGGACGGAGAGTGGAAAAATGGTCACTTGGAGCTGCGACGGCGGCCTCCTTGGATTGCATATGATTCCGCTGCGTTGGGTCCTCAAATGGTGGTACGATGGTGGTATTGTTGCAGCAGCAGCAGGCTATTGATTTTTTACGAGGCGAATGCCCCGTGCTCCGAGCCCCGTGCCCCGTGCCCCGTGCCCCGCCAACGACTAAATAGGAGGAAACCAAAGACCAAGACGACAACGCACTGAAATTGGAAGTATGCCAAGGCGGCATAGTGTGCCCCCAGCCGCCTGCCCCGTGCCTCCTGCCTTCCTACCTCCTGTGCAATGTGTCGGCAGATTTGTTTGTTTTCACATTCAATTCTCGGGCAACGTTCGATGGTCTGCTGCGGTTGGAAATGTGCCAAAGTTCAATGCACGGCATTGCCATGGCGAAATTTTGCGAATCGATTCGGTTCATCGCATAGTTGAGATTGAGATGCCACTAGAAATGGAATGCCAGCCAGTCAGACAATCCTTGAACGAGCTGTACTTGACTTTCGGTAAAGGAATCCAAGTCAAAAGGTTTCAAAGGTTTAGGAGAGAAAAGAAGATTGGAAGAGAAACCTACGAAAGGTCTTTGGAGATCACAAAACATTGTAGAAGAGTCCTCAATCTTTTCCAGAAGATTGTATGCCAGAAGTTTCTATATTTACAGGTTCTCAGAGCGTCTTCTATGATAATCCCACACTTTCATAGAAAAAAGCTTCCCCCGTGAATTGCAATCTATTTGTAGTACTCGTATAACCCATCCAAAACTTGGCATACTTTCAGGCACCCTCATTTATGTCATTATTCATATGACCTCAAAATATTTCAAATCTATTTCCAGACCCACAAACAAGTTGCCTACTTTTTGTGACACATTTGATGTTTTATTCCGTGGATCAAGGCATGCCTCATCGCTGCCCCAAAAAAAACTCCTGATCCTCATCGTCAGTGCTCTGCATATAGTTCACAAACTGATCGGCCATATGCCAATACCAGTGAAGGGCCACCGACTCCAGGCCGCCCTTGTCGGCAATCCAGATCTGTCCGTTCTCCGATCTCTCGATGGCATTTACTATATTCTGGCCGCAGACGGCCGTCGATTGGCAGGGGGCACGACGCAGGCGATCGGCAAAGGACTGGCCGTATTCCAGGAAGGCAGTCAGTTCCCGATCGACAAACACTTTGGTGGGACCACAGCAGACGGCCATGACAGCCACACCATTTTGGGTGTAATACAGGGGATCCTGCGAAAGAATGAAAGACATTAGAGAGCATTTTCAAGCTAAGATCTCGCCCACTCACCGCTAGACTTCGGGTGAACCCAATCACACCAAACTTTGAGGCACTGTACGCACAAAAGACTGGCGATGGATCCAGTCCTATGACGGAGGTGACATTCACAATCAGTCCACCCGAACCGCCCATCTTTCGGTCCATATAGGGCAGCACAGTGGCCACGGTGTTCATCATGCCGGTCAGATTCGTATTGATGGTGGCATCAATGTTCCGCTCATCGCACAGGGTGGCCCCATTGATCAGCACATCGATGTAGTCCATCTGGACCATGACCTCATCGAAGTACTTCTTCATCTCCTCGCGGGCCATGGTCACATCGAAGGTCCAGAAGAAGATCTGTGTGCTGTGCTTAATCGATTGTAACTGAGCGATGGCCGGGGGGTTTTCCACGCTCTGAAGGATGGCCAGTTTCTAGGCAAAGAATCAAGATAGAATCAATATGATATGATGCACATTCCTTGGTATCTATTTTTATATGCCAGCAATCCGTAATCGAAAGTACTTCCCTTAAGCAAAAGTAGATCAAACTCAAAACATAAACTTAATTGTAGCTTTGAACAGCAAAAGTCAGCGGACAAAAACAAAACATGAAAAAGTCATTAACTTAATTAGTTTCGACAGCTACCAGCAGCAGCCAAGAGACTAGAGACTAGAGACTTGTTTAAGAACCAGAACCACTTCGGAACACTCTCCACTCTCTACACCACTCTACCACTCACCGCTATATTCTTGGTCATGAGAACCTTGCTGGTCTCCAGTGCAATGCCACCGCAGTCAGCCACATAGCAGACATGCTTACCCGTCAGATCGTACATTCTTTTGGCTGCCTTTCTCAAGTTCTTTTCTATTACTAAACAGTAAAGTTTTTGTGTGGAAATCGATAGAGGCCACAACGACCACTGACCACCACTGACCATTGCTCTTTTTATCTAGTTTTTTTTAATTAAAAGAGAGCTATAGCTCTTATCGATTTTGTTGAAATTTCTCAAATATAATTTTGTATTATCATATTCAAAACGGGGTTCAAATCAGCCTTATTGCCATATGTGTATGTATATACGTAACAATTGAGTGGAAAAAAAGAAACTAAAAGCTAAAACGCCATGTCCCATAGAGTCTCTGGGATGGTTTAGATGCCCGAGTCCCAGTGCTGGGTCCATGTGATGGGCTCCAAGGTGCCCAAATCCAACTTCCAGATGGCACCGTTCTTGTTCAGCTCAATGGCCTTCACAAAGTTCTCGGCGCACTGCTGAGAGGTCTGGGTGGGATGCTCGAGCAGCTTCTCCGCCACACGGGGCTCCACATCCAGCCACGAGTTGAATTTGTGGACCAGAGTGGTCCTGGTGATGCCAGGATTGACAGTGTAAGCAGTGACACCAGTAATGGGAGCCAGTTTCTATGGGATTTCAAAGAAATATTTAGTTTTGGGGAGTAGGAAAAACGTTGGATTACTTACCGCCAGGGAGGAGGTAAAGTTAACCACCGCCGCCTTGGAGCCGGAGTAAACGGGCACCTGGTAGATGGCATTGAAACCGGTGACGGAGCCAATGTTGCAAATGATGCCGCCTGGGCCGCCCTTGCGCTTGTCCCAGAAGTCCAGAATGGCTGTGGTGGTGTTGACCAGGCCCGTGTAGTTAACGGCAATGGTGCGCTCGATCTGATGATCGTCCAGGATGCCAGCACCGTTGATCAGGACATCGATTGTCTTCACCTGGGCAAAGATGGTCTTCAGGAGCTTGGTGGTCTCAGCGACGGGCACAGTCACATCGTAGGGATAGAAGGTGATGGTCACCTTGGGATTGATTGCCTTCAGTTCGGCAATGGCAGCCGGATTGTCAATGCGATCCAGGATGACCAGGTTCTAAAAAAAAATAAATTTTTAAATTTAGGATTCCATAGATTCCATGGAATTCGTTCTCTCTTACCTTCAGATTACGCTTGACCAACTCCCGGCTGGTGTCCAGGCCAATGCCGCCCAGACCGGCCACGAAAACGACGTTCTTGTTGGTGAGAGACATTCTGTCTTTTGATCTGGGAATCGATGGGACAATTCAACAGTTTGTTATTATATTTATTCTGGTTTTCTGTCTCGTATTTATAGGGAGTTCGGCAAGAGCTTCCGCCAGAAGCTTCTTTCACGTCGAGCTTTTCTGTTTCTTATCTCTCGCATTACGTGTTCGGATCGTTTGCGTTCGTTTTGTTTTGGTTATTTGCCGGCAAATTTATGTTAATACTCGTACGTGTGTGTGTGCGAGTCTAATCAGGAATAGAATACCACTCATACTTGTATTTTTATTTGAGTCTCAAGGTATCGTAAATTATGTCTATGTTTAGAGTTCAGGTTCTTGAGGAAAACTACTGCGTGTCTGCTGGTCTATCGGAGTCGACACGCGCGGCCATCTAACAGCGAGTGAGGGCATTACTTAACAGGCGACTGTTATGTTACTTAGCCGTCGGTCCTCCTCTGTTATCAACCGAAAAGTGTAAACAAATTGTTTTTTCTGGACAAGAGCCAAAAGTGCTTCTTGTAGAATTAGAATTGAGGAAATTATTTGCATAAAGAGCACTTGGGAAATACGTCATACGAATTTTTGATCTATCACTTTAACAAAAAATGGACAGCTGCTTTGTGAAGATATTTTCTCTTTTTTGATATTTTATATTTGAACTTTTCTACGCCCAACTCGAACGTTTTTCAACCCAAGCTCCAACGAGATGTTTTTTTAAACGACGTTTTACAACTGGAACTGCGCTATCAAGAAATTTCTTGAGTTACTGCAGAACCGAGTGGGATGGGCCGACTGTACTTGGATTACAGTTACTTACTTGATCGATTGAGTAGATTTAAAGAAATGCTGGTCCGCCTGCTGCACCTGACAACTACTGACTGCACTGTAGACAATAATCGTGGTCCTCGACATGTGCAGTGCCTTAAATACACTGCGGCTGCGCCTCTGTCGGCGCCTCTGTCAACGCAAACGCAAACGCCGACGCGATAATTCGTAATAATGTAAAATGCAATAAAAATATACAGCAACCAAAAAGGAATGCTAGCGTCAATAGTCGAAGTTTTTGATACCCTGATAGCCTTACATATTTTAAACAAATTTGACTAATGAAGATTATATAAAAACAAACAAAACGGGACCACATCTGTAAATTTAATTCAAGAAAATATATACCTACAATGCTCAATATCGATATACCCCAGGAAAGGGTATCACAAATGATCTGCAGACATGTGCAGAGCGAAAACAAATGCAAAATATGCAAATGGAAAGAGGGGGAGCAAGAGAGCGGGCAATATTGATTGATAAAGGGGGAGAGGACAGCCAGATCATAGCATCAGTCGCGGGAGAGCAACAGCGCGCGCGAGAGAGAGAGAGAGAGAGAGAGAGAGAGAGCAAAAGCTTTAACCTTCAGTGAATGTCAAGCAATGTGTGAGCAGCAGATCAGCAGAGCAGCAGAGTGGACCCAGCCTTCGTTGTTGCTTGGCAATTGAACTTCGGCTTAATTTACATATTCACACAGCGAGAGGAGATAGTGTGTTCGACTGAAGAAGAAGGGGTGAGCGCTAGACGGCGGAGCGGGGCATCTACATACACACATATATGTACATATATGTCTGTAGAATCAGTCTAGAATAACACACACAACACGCCCCCTAAAACGCAGCTCATTAGCAATCGCTCGCTTGTCGGCAGCAGAAACCAAGCCCACTTCAGAGCCGAGCAGGAATAGCGGTTTCGAGTGTGTGTGTGTGCTCCAGAGAGAGGGAGAGCTGAATACAAGTATGTAAAAGAAAACAAAAATATGCAACAGTTAAACGTTAACCCATTGGTGGTTAAGGAAGGTAAAGCAGAATAAAAGACTTTTTGTATTAAAATTGAGGATATACAGAGAAATCTAAGCAGTAATATTTATATATATAATATAAATATAATTTGAATCCAATTATAATTAATTTGAAAGGAAATCTGCTCTTAGAATATGTATATATAGAATATTGCTTAACCATTTCCAAATATCACAAGTCCTGTTTTTTTCTTCCCACTTGAGTACATGCCGCCATCAGTGGGTTAAGCGTAGTAAAGGGTCCATAGCGGGACACGTGTGATGCAATCGAGAGAGGGAGAATGGAAAGAGATAAGCATGCGGAAGAAAAGAGCTTTCAATTTACATATGAAATACGAGTAGTTGTCCGTACTTGAACCTGTTTATTGATGTGTAATATATACACAAATTAAATTACATAAATGGGCTCGATGTGGGTTACACATCTAATATATAGGGTTCGACTTGTATGGCAACGGAAACTGGAATGATTCTGGATGATTCTTTGCATCAAATCGGTCGCTGCATCTCTGACGTATGTAAAAGTGAAATATAGTATTATATTCCAATTATTTTAAATAATATTTCATAATCGTTTTGGCCCCCATAAGTGGGTTATCGCCTAGAAACTCGTGCGGCAAAAAGCATGTGCAGCACGCATGTTAGGGGGAAGCCTGAATTTTCCACAAATATACACGAATACCCTTACCCACTGACCCAATAATCAAAGTGGTAGGGTTTATTCCCTAGCAACTACTCGTAGAACCAATCAAAAGGTACTCCATATAAGAAAAATCGTATGACTGTTCCAGACACCGCTTTGATATGGTTTTTTCCTATCAGCAGACGTACCCAGACGTCTCTGTACTCGCACGAAACCCCTCCAGACCTATTCCATCATTAAGTACAGTGTGTTATCGCGGGGTGTCGGCACAAGTGTGGCATGGCCCCCGGGGTCCACGCTGCCGGTGACATTCAACCTCTGGGGGGTAATGACGCCAACAGCGTACCTGTCAAAACCGATTTATGTGCATACATCCAAATATCCCCCCCTAGAAAGCATAGTCGTATATGTAGATGTCGTGCCTCGCAGCTAATTAAGCCACTGGCATTGTCTTCCCCGCTGTGTGTGGTGTGTGGTGTGTGTGCGTGTGCCTATTGAAACGAAACTGGGGCTTCTAAACGGCACTGCCTAAGCGGCTTACCTATATATGCCACACGGTACCTACTCGTACTAGAGAAAGGCGGGACTAGAGATGGTGTTGTGGGTGCCGAGCATAATCTAATTTACAATTCCACCGACCGACCCATTTGACTTCCTTCCTCTTTTTGTATTCTCCAGGGAATCAACCTCTTTTGACGTACGAGGCCTGATCAGATTTCCCCTTTTACGCTTGACTTTGCTTTGGGGTCTCCTCTAATCAAAACCGCACAAAAGTTGCATCATATTATTTGCATTTCTAATCCACTGTACTATAAATGTGTGAGGTCTTTTCATCCACAATAATGCAGTCATCAATCATATTTTATATATATGTATTTTCAAAAGCGTCTTAGAATCTACTTTAAAGTTTGATAAATTTCTAATTGGGTTTTTCTTTTGTTACTTCTGGAAACTACATTGATCTTTTGATCTTCTTTGGGAATTGAGTGAAACGAATTGAATTTGTAAGAGATTAAGGGAACTTTTCAATGATTAATGCCTGAAAATTTCATATGAAAAACATATGTTCTAAGATTTTGAAAGATCAATCTTGAATCTAAAGAGAAACCTCTCTATTTCCACCGATCTCTACCGAAAAAAGAAAGCTCTCCCCATCGAAAAGGTACCTCTCACTTCATTAAACCCTTTTTTCATTCGGGTTGGGCCTCCAAATCACATTCAATAGATTCGCTCTTCAATATTTATGAATTCAATCGCGAAAACGAGGAAAAACGAAAAGCCAATGGAAAAGGAAAAGGAAATAGGAAAAATAAATAAAGAACTAGAGCGTAAAGTGAGAAATGGTGCTTGGTGCTGACTCTTGATTATTCGTGTGCGAGTTCTCTATTCTACCGCCGAGTGTCTCTCTCTCTCCTTATAAATAAAACTCTCGACACACCTCAGCACACCACACCACACACATGTACTGCCCCTTCGCCTTCCCCTTACCCGCAGATTGTTGAATGTTGCATGGTGTTGAAGAGAAATCAACTTTAGGGAGTTGCAACTTGCAACGATATGCTGTGTGCAACACATTTCAACGTCATCTTCGCTGAAGGTTGAGCTTAATTTGCTTTGACTTTTAGCAATTTGCATAAATATCAGACACACTGCTGGGGCAAGTCCTACGCTGCCGTGGCATCGCATGGCATGGCATGGCACGGCCCGATTGCTGCTATGATTTTCTGGCCACAGAATCAGCAATAACAATCAGAATCAGATCCAGATCCAGAGTCAGATTCCCCCCTCTCACAGAATCTGTGGCATAAGGTACGAGTACTCCACAGGCGATGAGGCGGCCCGAGAGCGAGAGCGAGGGCGTTTGGGGCTTGGTAGAATGACAACAGCAGAAAAAATATGTATATGAAACGAACGAATTATAAAGGAATTATGATTTCTGACGGGGGCGTTGAATATAATTTACCCCTTCAGCTGTCTGTCCCCCTATTTCATGCGGCGACAATGCAAATATGATCGCAGCACTGCGATCAGGCGATCGTAACAATCTTTGAATACAGTCTGTACTACACTTACAGATTGGCGGAACACAAATATGGTTTGGGCGAATGGAGAGAACTTAGAGAGGCTCTTGAGATATTTGTATCGAAAGTAAAGAGAGTGAAATCATTGTTTGATCAACAAATTAGCAAAGATCTTAGGAGATAGTTAGATAGATACATGTTAACCTTCATAGAGGGGGGTATATTCGGATAAAAGTGTAAGTAAAATATTTATATAAGCTGGTTAGAGTTCTTAGATTGTTATTTACGATCATCTAATCAATACTTATAAAATGATTTACACCTCAACGCTTAAATGATCATTGAAGATTACTTAAGTATCTTTCATTATTCTCTACCAACTTATTTATTATCTTCTTATCAAAGATCTTAGAGCTTATCTCTCTTTTAGAAAGTGTTCTTGAATATTTTTATAAATATTTATGATCTAACCATTAAAGTTAAAGAAAATCAAGACAAACTTTGCTATCTAGTAGAAAAGATCTTGAAAGATTACTTTTCGGTGCAAAAGTATTCCAATTTAATTCAATCTTCATAGCTTTTCTATTACCATATATTTTTCTGATATTTTTAATTCTATGATGTTATTATTTTCGATACTCTTTCATTCGATTCTAATCTATTTTTAATTTCTTTAATTTTCAGCGCTGGCAGCGACGATGGTTTGTTCTCTACGATGATGGCGAGCTCACGTATTCGGTGGATGATTATGTGAGTATTTAATTTAGGCTTGGAGTTAGAATAAATTACAGAGCCATATAGGAACCATACCCATAAAAGTGTGCAAACAATTCAATTAATAATAGAACGTCTTGTTTGTTTGAATGCCCCCTAAGGTGGTTCTTTGGCGATAAGAAATATTAATAAAAAGACTACAATAAATGTTAGGCAATGCCCTGGCATTGTTTGAAAATACTTTTGAGATAACCGAGATGTGGTTTTTTTTTGTCAATTAAAAATAAACGACCGTCCACTCGAGTGCCTGCTAATTATGGCCTTGCTCTTGGCCTCGCCACGCGAATGTTTGTCATATCTTATCGCTTATAGCCAAATAGTGCCACATCAGACTAGCTCAACAAGTTGCCGGCTGGTTGCCTTGGAAGATGATTATAAAACATAAGAGGAAAGAAAAAAGAAATGACCGAAGACTGTGATAATCTTAGAAAACGAAGAACAGTTGCCCTACCAGGGAATATGTCACATAATTATGGCTTAAACTTGTAAAAGTTAATGGGAAAATCCTCTTAAATTAAGCGACAACTTTTGTTTAGTTTGCACAACTCTTTAGAATGTATTTTTATATTATTTTGTACTCGTTTTTTCCTGCAGCCCGAAACCATACCGCAGGCCTGCATTGACATGACCAAAGTGCTGGAGGTGACCGGGGCCGTGGAGGTTACAGGTCATCCCAATTCCATAGCCATAACCGCACCGGAGCGTGTCACCTTCGTGAAGGGCACCAGCTCCGAGGAGTCGCAGTGGTGGCTCAACATTCTGGCGGCCTTTCCCAAATCCAAGGGTCGCCACAAGCGCAGCGCCACCCTGCCGGGCGGCCAGGTGGTTGGCAGCCTGCGGCAGTCGAGCAACATGGACATGTCCACGAAGCTGGGCAATCGCCACAGCTCGTACCACAAGGACACGCTCACGTCCTCCCAGTCGGCGGGCAATTTGCTGAGCAGCCTGGATCTGAGTCCTAGTTCTACGAATACCGGTGGATCCACCACGGTGACCAATACCCAGGGCACTGTGGACGATGACGAGGAGGATGATGGCGTGGAAACGGGCGAGGATGTCGACGAAGAGGACGAGGAGGATGTGCAGCCAAGGAAATCGAAGGCATCGACCAGCTGCATCATCGGACAGGATGAGAACAATCGAAATGCCGGCAATGAGATCACAAATCGGGGTGAGTAGTCCATTGAAATGTTAGAGTTAGATTATTCAAAGAGTGTTTTTTGAGGTTAATGATCCATATAGGGAATATTTACTCTTTATCAAGTGATTCTCAATAATTTTGAGACCTGTTGGATTGAGAAAACACTTTGATGATTACAAAAATACAGCTTCAAAGGGATCTTCTATAGGAATAAGTAATATTTATAGAGAGATTTGTTCTCTTAAGAATTCCGAATGCTTTAAAATGCTGCTCTTAAAAGCTTTTCAAATGAAATCTATGAAATGAATGCTCAGCAAAAGCACAAACCCGCTCATGGCAGTCAGCTTTTGACACACAAAAGAACATTTCCAGAATGTCATATATCGCTCATGATTTGAAAACACAGGAAACTATTTTAAAATCCAATCAAATTTGATTGAAATAAATCTGCTATATACCCAGATCCCTAGATCTCTCATAATAGAAGGATATTCACGCAGAGAATTCCCTTAAAGAAGTAGCATTTCATTTCAGACATTGAAATATATTCGCTTCTACTTTGTATCCAATTAAAGATGATTTATATACCCAAAAATATCATTTATAGAGCTCTCTATACCTTGCAATCAGCCCAAAAACTTCCTAGAAATGATCCCGAAATCCTTACAAAATTGATTGAAATCGATGTGTTCGAATTTTAATCCCAAGATCATGCCGATCAACCGATCAAGGTACACACTTCCGCATTAAACCACCAATCAAAGTATTTATTTATTTTACGAAAATTAATTCCAGTTTCGCAGATTCCTTTGTACATACATATATTTCAGGTAAAGTTGATAAAGTGACTTTTACTTTTCACTCCACCACAGAGCACTTATTTGAACAATCTTCCGTATCTTGTGCTCTGTATTTTGTACCCTTGACAGCCATTTTTTCTGTGTCGTTTTTTTTTTTGTTCGTACGAGAGTAGTCCATTTTTCGAGTCCCATCCGCAGTTTTGTTCTCTGTTCGCGAGTCTCTCGGTATCGGCTGCTATAATTTTTATGATCATTTATGGCTTGCAGCAATCAAAATTATCAACCATGCCCCAGACGCAGACAGACGTACAGTTGAAGGATTGCAGGGCTGTCTAGGGGGGACAGCAGTAGTGGGGGCAGGGGCAAGGGGCATGGGGCAGTGCGTGCAGCTAGTTAAAGCCACTGCCACAGCCACAGCCACGAAATTAACCTTGAATTCACACACACACACACACGAACGGGGACCGACTGGAGCTGAGGATGGGGCTGCTTCGAATCCCCTCCACTACTTAAGATCGTATAATGGTAGGCTTCATAAATTTTCTTTAGATCCCATAGCAGCAGAGAGCAGAGCAGAGTGGAGCCCGCGAAGGTCTGGTTCTCGTTGGGTTCGTTGGATGCTGCTGCTGCCTGCTGCCTGCTGTATGCTCTCCTGTAATTGCAGTTACTGTGAATGTTCTCACATACATTGCTGCAGGATACTTGTTCATGGAAAAATGATATTCACGCTTAAATTATAGTGTGTCTGCCCCACAGATCCCTACTCATGGGGGGAGGCACACACATAGTACTTTGGAATAGGACTGGGACCCTTTTCATGGTTTGGCAGTAGAGTAGAGGCCCCCCCACCCCCTTCGAGCTCTCTCCTACTCTGTGTGTGTCTCTGTTGCAAATTCAAGGCTCAGCCCCCCACATCAAATGGCATTATTCCGTTGATAAATCGCCAGTTAAATACGTGAACCAGTTCGAATTGGTCTTCTCTGCTCTGCTCTGCTCTGCCCTACGAAATGGAAAGCGAAAATTAACCATCTTCACAGATCCATAAGGTGGTAAAACATGAAAAGTGCCGATACCTGGCCAAAGGGCATTGAAAAATAAGTCAAAGAAGGTACTGATTGGTACTATAGAACTATGAAACTATGATCTTTGAGGCGAGTAGACGAGAGAATTGCTGGAAAATGTAAGGTAACTGAATTTATAGAGGGAATATATGTATAATAATGTTTGGGTATTGGATCTCTAAAGATTTTGTTTGTGGGAACCTGCTCAGTGCCCAGGCGGAATGTAATGGAATGGAATGTAATGGAAACAAAAAGACGGAGAGCGCTCCCATTCTCTTCGTTCGATTTTGTTTCTTTCCAACTTGTTCCGTCCCAATAATAGATAGTATTTCCTTTATTCCTTGAGATTCTTTTCCAATTTAGTATATCCAAAGGTTTCTACTAGATTTCTGCGAGTAACCCCCTCCATAACCATATGTTTCATCCACAAAAGTACCACTCTTTCCTTATTCTTTGATAGCAGGCACTCCAAATCGAGTATTCCTTTAGTTTTTCATCTAATTTTCCAACGAATATCACTATCAATTACTACCGCTTCTGGCACTCCCTCTCTCTCTCTCTGTGTGTCTAATGTAAAGGTTTACACATTCCCCATTCACGTTCTCCATCCACCACACTCGTACGTTTCTTTTTCGATTAGAGAGATACAGTGTTATGCCGGGTAATAGGTCCGGAGAGGTCTGAAGATCAGTTACAGCGACTGGTAGGACTCTAGGGCATTTTTTTCTGTGGGCAGGCAGCTTCTTTTTCGTGGTGGTGCTGACACAGACTAATTACATTCCATCAATAAGCAAAATTGTGCGGCAAATGAGGCAATTCATTGGCCCCTCTGCAGCCCCTCTGCAGCCTCTCTGCTGCCTCTTGGCTCTGTACACTTTCTGAATGGAAGAGATCTGCTGGGAGAGCAGGCCTTAAAGCTCTTAAAATGCACAACGACAAAGATTATAAACTGTCTACACCTAATAGCCGTCGGCTAGTCAGTGGAGGGAGGGGGAGAGAGAGGCCAGTGTCAGGATGGGGGCCACGTTGAAATATATTTTCCAAGAGACCAGAGAGATAGGCCCCTCCGGGACATGTGTGTGGCTGGGTCTATCCACCGTGTGTCTGTGGCACGGCACAGGGACTTGTGTAATGGGCAAAGTTTCACGGCAAAGTGAATAATTACAGTGCAAATAAATCTCTTGCAGCGCAAAGGGTACTCTTTACTATGATTCTCTTTGGATTTTTTAGCAAAAAAGGTGACGAAATGCAACAAAGAAGGCAACAATCAAAGCATCAGCTTGCCACAGAAGTTCCTGCAACATGGAATTAAGTGCAAGATTGTATTACAAAAGACAACTCTGTGCAACAATGTTGCCCGCTAGACTTTTTCAATGAATCAAAGGCTTATCCTCCCTATCCTGGCTCTCTCTTATCGGGTACTTAACCCATGGGCTTTTCATAGTATATCAATCGTTAATTACAACCCTTTTGCAACATTGTCTGTGTGTCTGGGTGTGCTGTATGTGTGTGTGCTGTATGTGGAGTTCCATTAGTTCATTATCAATCTATTGAGAAACCTATTATGCCCCAAACCGCGAGAGAGAGAGAGGCGAGAGGGTGCCCCAGCCTCGGACAACTTCTGTGCAAATGCAAAATGACAGCTGCTCGAGGAGGAGCCTCACGAGGAGGAGGCGTCTCGCCAGCTAACGATGCAAGTTGTACGATTTACGAGACTTGCAACACACACACACACACACACACACACACACACAGGAGGAACCAGCGGCAGCACCGTCACCACCATCACCAATAACCAATCAATATTCATAAGTGTAACGACTTGCAAGCAAAATTTATGCAACATCGGGATGGCTGCAACGTGCCGTCCTGGACAGGAACGCAACAGTGGGGCACGGGGCACGGGGCACGGGGCAGGGGCAGTTAGAAATTTTTCAAAGTCATCGTGTGAGGGGTCCCCGAGGCAGAGGCAAAGGCAATTTTCGCTTTCGTTCGCCCAAAAGGCAAAAAGGCAGAGGCGCAACGGCAACGGCAGCGGCAGGTAAATCAACTTGCAATTTGATTATTTATTGCGTCTGAGGCGGAGTTAACTCCAGGGAGGACGCAGGATGGGGCATGGATGATGGGGGGGGGGAGGGCTGCTGCAGGAAGAGCCCCATCCGAGGAGGGCATGATTGAGTGGGTTGTTCTGAGTGCGCTTAATTGTTGCCATAATTAATCAAATGTTTGTTAATTAAAGAAATGCTAAAAATTGTACCAAAAATTAGTCAAAGATCTGCACCAACCTCCTGGAGTCCCTCTTCCAGCATCCCGACAGGGGATGAGGGAATCGCAAGTATAATTATAGGTCGCTCTGCCTCCCTCTGTACCATCCGCTGTCGCTGGTCTACAATCTACAGTTCCTTCATCCATGCGCCACCATCCATCCCATATATCAAAGAACACTGTTTTTATCAACTTAATTACACTTAGCACCTTACGCGTCTTCTCTTTTTGTTCTTTTTGTTCTTTCTGTGGTTTCTGTTCATTCTGTTGGGTTTTTTGTGGGCTGTCTGGTGTGCTCTGATTTGATCTTGAACTTGAAAGCGCGTAGTAAAAGCCACAATAAATATTAAATGGTGCAAAACACATCAGCATCAAGGGCACAGCGAAACAAAGAGCCCCCCAGATAATAAAGCAGAAGTAGCTGAAGTGCAGGAAGGGTTTATAGAAAGAGTGGGAACGCACTCTGGCCAAAGAAGACAAAGCATCGAATGATCGAATGAGAGATGACCTGTAGAGTGGTGGAAAAGGAAGGAAGGAGTCGATTGAGTATTCCCTGAAGCTTTGCCAGAGAGTTCTCATAAGTATTTCAGATATCATATCCCTTTACTGTCATTCGAAACGACCTCTCTAAGATCTAAGATCTCTTGATGATCTATCACATGATATACATAAAGCATGGAGCTTCCTATGCCTACCATGGGATCTTATTCTTTTTAAACCGATCTCTTTTTGGTAGGGCAAGACCCCTGCGCACTAGCTTAGCTCCTTTGGCCACGAGGGCGACCCAAAACGATCATAATTCAGTTCTTAATCTTCTCCAGCCGCTTTCTTTGTAAAAACCTCCACTTTCTTTGTAAGAACTTCCCTGATGATCGCTTATCCCTGCATATATCGATGATATTAACTGATCTTAAAAACTTCCCTAAAACGCTCAACGATCTTTTACTTCCTTATACTTCGTTCTCTTTTAAGGAAGATCGCTTTACCCCGTCTCTGATTGATCTTTAACTGTCAAAAGTCTTGGAGATCAGATTCCCTTCTCTAATAACCCATAAACCACCGGGTTATAGGATACTTAACTTTACTTTATTGAACTCTGAAGATCACTTACTTCCTTTCATACTGATCTTTCTCTCTGAAATATCACACAAACCTCATGCATATATCAAAGGATCTCTCTCTCTCTCTCTATCTATCTGGCATGTAATCAACCCTCTACAAAGTAGCTCTAGGGTCTTGTCCTTCTGCTGTCCTCCTTCATGGGTAATATTGTATCATAAGCATTATAAATTCCATTGCTGACATAGTCGCCGCATCGTTCGGGGCCGCAGCTTCTTTTGCCGACAAGTCGACCAATTAAAGGCATACCCCGATGCCCCATACCCATCAGGCCGTAACTCCCTCTCTGATCCACAGAGCTTGGCCAGCATCCCCTCCATTTAACACAGTAACCTTGAACCTGCTGCTGCTCCTCCGGTGAGTCAGTCGCAGAGAGGGAGAGAGAGAGGCGGACGTCTGCTGATGACGCCAAAGGTTTCTGTGGCTCTGGCTGGGGTTCAGAGGCTGCTGCTGTTGATGCTGCCTCCTTTCGCTTTTTGTTGCCATTTGGTTGGTGCCTTTCTGGTGCTGTTGGCCAACAGCTCAATAATCAAGATAAACGCCGGACCAGCCGAAAAGCGACCAACCTGTTCGACTGACCGAATTGATGCGCACTCAAGAGACGGGTCTCGATGGCTGGCTGACTGGCTGGCTGGCTCTTCTTTTTTTTTTATGGCCAGTCGGAAATTTGTATCATAATCATAATAAACTTTAAATGTGTGCCTCTCGGAGGAGGCAGCCACAGACAGACAGGCCCGGGAACAGGTCGAAAGTCTAAATATATATTTTGTAATCATATATTTTATGGGACAACTTCGAAGCGAAGCCTCCGTCGAGAGGTCTCTTCTGTTTTCTGATGTTTCGTCCCCAAGTCCTCGACTCGTTTTGGGTGTTAATAAAATTATGGCACTCTCAGTGGCTTCCCTTCCACTCTCTCTCTCTCTCTGAGGATTTCTCTGCGGTTATGCTGCTTATCGCGATCCGATTCTCTCTCGGGATCCTCGAGAGGGGATCTCCTTACAATTTCTTTGCCCGTTTTAATAATTTTATTATATTTGCGCGAACATAACTTGGCGCTCGCTTCGCGATTTTATGGCCCTATGCTGGGCATAAATATTGTTAGGGGTGTGTTAGGGGGATCCCCATCCACCATCCTCGATCCACCACGATCCTGTGTCTAAGTTAATTTCAGTCAATGGCAATGGCATTGATATGGTTTCTGCTTAGGCTCCCAGACCACAGAAACATGCTCATATTTCAAAGTATTTAATGAAGACGTTGGGCCAATTATGAAAATGGGGGGAAGAATGCGGCTGCGCGTAGAGATTGCGTTGCGGTGCGTTTTGGGGCCCTGGGAAATTTATTACGGCTCGGAAGATGCTCTGAGAAATGGTCTTTGAAGAGCCCTCTCCATAACAGGCCTGATTATCCGCCATAAGCGATCTCTCCCTGTCCCTCTGTTCTTTTATGTTTACTAATTTATTTATACAATAAATTAATAGTAATGTTTTTGTGTAGGTTCTCAACTCTTGATTGGATTCCAGGGAAAACTTGAGGCTTCTTGGGGATAAATTGAGGAAGATTTTTTGATGGGCTTTTGGTGTTTGCCAAAAGAGTTTTTATTCTTCCTTTATGATTTCCTTTATGAAGTGTAATTTGGGGAATAGTTTAAAGATGATTAAAGGACTGTTTAAAGGCTTGAATATGGGCTGAATAATAGTCTTAGGTCTCGGATCAAATATCTGTTCTATATATTCATTAGTTTGCTCTTGAAATAGTCTTTACTGCATATGTGTAGGCTACCCACGTGATGCAGCAGCGCCCCTCGGTCTGTATGCGTTTCTTTCTTTGCTTTAGCCATTTGATGACTACAAAATCTAATAAAATACCCATCAATTCCTTCAATAACTAATCGAAAACCCCCATCCTTCATCTTCGACAGTTTCCCAACCCAACACTTGCCTACTCATCGAGGACATACGCCGGGATGAGAAGACCATCAAGGACATTGCCAACACCATAACGAACCTAAGTCAACAGCAGAGCAAACGCTGGTCCACGGCCGTCAATAATGCGCTGAACAATCAGCACTCCTCCCATTACCACACCCATGGGCACGGACAGTACCAGACATCGCGGGACGAGACGGATTTCCAGGTATCCTCCGCCAGCAACAACAACAACAGCAACAAGTCCCCGAGCAGCGGTGGAAGCGAGAGACCAAAGTCACTGCCACTGGCGGCCAACTCCACGCCGGCCATCGTCTCGGCCATAGTCAAGAAGATACCCACGGTGATGGTGTCCCAGCAGCAGCAACAGAAGCAGCAGCAGCAGCACCAGGGGGATAGCCTCTCTAAGACGAAGACGCCGACCCGTCTGCAGCTGCAGCTGAAGCCAGCGAAGCACTACCAGCACGAGAGAGGCGATCCCGATGGGGGCTGCAACATGGACGAGCTGTGCCCCAACTACATGGCCAAAACGGACGAGCTGCGATCCGTGAAGGGAGGCCTCAGCATCAAGTCCAGCTCCTCCTCCTCCTCCGGGGCGAGCAAACCCTCAGCCAAGGCCGCCACGGAGGAGTCGCTGAACGCCAAGAAGGGGTGGCTGATGAAGCAGGACAACCGCACGGGCGAGTGGTCCAAGCACTGGTTCACCCTCAGCGGAGCGGCTCTGTTCTACTACCGCGATCCGCTGTGCGAGGAGCGGGGCGTCCTGGACGGAGTGCTCGACGTGAACAGCCTGACGAATGTCCTGCCAGAGCCGAGTGCCAGCAAGCAGCACGCCTTCCAGCTGATCACCTGGGACAAGCAGCGCCTGCTGCTGGCCAGCCTCTCGCCCAGCTCCCGCAACAGCTGGCTGGCGGTGCTCCGCAGTGCCGCCGGTCTGCCCCAGCAGCTGGACACGACGACGCCCACGACGGGCGCCAAGCAGACGGACATCGAGCAGGACTTTATCAAGGCCCAGCTGCAGCCTGTGGCGAGTCCGGCCACCACGCCGGGCACCCCCGCCGGGACAGGACCCCACTTCTCGTCCGACGAGGAGTACCGCACCGCCTCGGAGGGCGGGCGCAGGGACAGCCTCGACTGGGGCTCCCCGCTGTCGCCATCCCCGCCCGTGCTACGCAGCTGCCTGCGCAACCGCAGCCTCGCGAGCCTCCACAAGCGCAGCCGCAGCTCTCCGCCCAGCTCCAGGCGCAGCACCGTCGACAGTGTGGCCAGCGACGAGCTGCCCCTCCTGGTGGTGCCCGAGGAGCTGCTGCAGCCGGATCGGGAGCTCAAGCAGCAGTGCGAGACGCTGCGCGCAGAGGCCACCCTGCGGGAGGCACGAATGTCGGAGCTGCTGACGACCCTGCAGCGGACGGAGCAGCAGCTGACGGCCCGCCTGCAGGAGCAGCAGCAGCAGCTCAACGGAGAGCTGGCGCAGGCCAAGCAGAGTGCCGCCGAGCTGATGCACAGCCTCAGTCTGCAGCTGTCGGAGAGCCAGTGCAAGATCAAGCAGCTGGAGGACCGCCTGGCTCAGGGCATCGAGGAGAACGAGAGCCTGTACAAGCGTCTGAGGGAGCTCCAGGCGGAGGGCAGCCAGGTGGCGAGCCTCAGCAATCTGCAGCGCCACAAAATGAAGCGCATGGACTCGCTGAGCGACCTCACGACCATCAGCGACATCGATCCGTACTGCCTGCAGCGGGACTCCCTGGCGGAGGAGTACAACGAGCTGCGGTCGCGCTTTGAGAAGGCCGTCAACGAGATTCGGGCCATGAAGCGGGAGCTGAAGCAATCCCAGAACCAATACGACGCCCTGGAGCTGGCCCAGGCGGCGTTGCAGCAGAAGCTGGAACGCTGCCAACTGGAGGATGGGGCGCAGCTTCAACTGATGGCCGCCCGCATCCAGGATCTGACTCTCAAGTACAGCAGCTCGGAGCGACAGGTGCGAGCCCTCAAGCAGAAGCTGGCCAAGTCCGAGCGCAGGCGATCGCTGTCGCTCAAGGGAAAGGAGCAGCTGGAGCTGAAGCTCAGCGAGCTCCAGAGGGAGACGATCGAGCGCAAGTCGGTGGAGAGCATCAGTCCGCCCACAGAGTCCTCGAGCAGCGAGTCTGCCAGCCAGTCCCCGCTGAATGCCCATCTCCTGCAGCGTCTGCACAGCCTGGAGCATGTGCTGCTGGGCAGCAAGGAGCGCCTCGAGCAGAGTCTCACGCAACTCCAGCAAATCCGCGCAGGACAGAGGAGTCGTCGCTCCGTTTCCCCCATGAATGACAGGAAGGATGGTCTGCGGCAGCTGGAACGCGCTCTGGCCGAGACCTGCGTGATGGTCAGCGAGCAGATGGAGCTGACCTGCGTCCAGGATGCCTGCCACAAGTGCTGCGACCTTCGACAGAGGGTGGAGAAGCTCTCGGCCCTGCAACAGCAGACCGAAACGGATCTGCAGCGCAGCGAACAGCTGCTGGAACAACGAGAGAGCGACCTCGCCCAGGCCCTGGAGAAGTGCGCCAGCCAGGAGCAGGAACAGGAGCTGCTCCTCCGACAGCGCAACGAACTGAGCGACGAGCTGGGCAAACAGCAGGAGCGCTGCAAGCGCCTCGAGAAGCGTCTGGAGCTGCTCGAACGGGAGCACGGAAAGCAGCTGGAGTGCCTGCGAGAGGTGTACCACAACGAGCATGTCAATGCGGCCGACGAGCAGAGCTTCCGTAAACGCTACCAACTGGAAATCGAACAGCTGAGGGTAAGTAATCCCTCCCCTCATCCATTGATGAATCCATAGCTAACATTTATCACTTGGTTCCCTTGCATAGACGCTCTGCGAGAAGGGGCTGAGTGCCATGGAGACCTCGCATCGGAGAATCACCTGCGATCTGGAGCAGCAGCACAAGCTGGAAATCGAGCGACTGCTGGCCGAAAAGGAGACCGCTTTGGCAGAGGAAACTCAGGTGGGAAACACAGCCACACTTTTGAGAGTCCAAGTACCTAATCGTGGGTTGTTTTTCGTTCATTTCCAGGCAACCCTGGCCGCTCTGGATGCCATGCGTAAAGCCCACCAGAGCGAAGTGCAACGCGAGGTGGCACGCTTCAAGCAGGAGTTCCTGCGACAGGTCCAGCGGGGAGAGCACATGCGGGAAGATGGCACCACGCTGAAAGAGTGAGTAGAACATGAAATTATATTATGACTTGATGGGAGAGCCGCTCAGTGTACTGACAGCCCATTGACTGCAAAAACACTTTGAACCCAATGCAAAAAGGTTCGAAAAAACATTTGAGGAAGTTTTATAGATCCCCACTGTAGGGCTATCGATAGAGGATAGCTGCTCAAATTGTGTGGAATCTTTGTGATCTGTTAGATCAAATATGAGCAGATTTAACCTGGCAATACTTTCAAAATTTGTACCCATTACTCGTATATTTTTAACGATTATACGTATACGACATGGCCCATTAAAATGTTTGATGGCATATCGTACGTTGAGCCCTCTAATTATGTATTCTACTTCCATTTATGTATGAAATATACATATGCTTCTCTTGAAAAGTTGAAAAATGTTTAACGATTTGTGACTTTGTTGCCATTAGCAACGATCGGTTGTAGAACCAGTCTGGTTGAAGTACTACGTGGTCAGCATTTGAATATTCATTTTATACATGATATGGTGTATGATATATTATGCGTATTTGCATTAGATCATCATACCATACCCTTGAACGAAAGCATTGAAACTATGCTGGAAATTCTATTGTTTTCGAGAAATACTCCAAGACATATGTATCAATATTGGCATCTATGTACCTTCAAATTAAGGTATAGAAATCTTTCACAGAGTTGTACATCTTTCATAAACAAGCCTACTATTGAGTATTCCGCTCAACCGAAAGTGATGATTGGTGCATTAGACAAAGAATATCTCCATTGTCTTGCGTTCAAATTAAAACAGGAGTCGGATGGTATGTTTTGGGCTTCAGTAAAAGTGCAACTACCTGAAGTTACGACTCCACCAGAACCATTTAATGGCTTGTTCATCGGCATGGATTCAGATTCAAACCCGATGCTGAAGATTCAATTCATTCTTCCAAATGACATTGCTTTGAGCAATGAAATGATGATTAAACCATACTCTGGAATGTATTCTTTCATGTATATCTGAAGTATGTACGGACTACATTCAAAATGCCTTTTCAAAGGCAATATAAACTTTGTTCTTTCTTCTTTCACTTAACGATCACTTTATCGATTGTAGTTTCTGCAAAAGTGGTGTTAAAAAGTGATCGGGAAATAGAAAAGAGAAAACCAATTAAAAAAGTGTATTCATCGTGAAATCAAAACGACTTTTGAGTGTATTGTGAGTCAAGTACAGTGAAGCTTTCCAAAGTTATAGAGGTGCCTGCTTATGGCGACATCTAACTGTTTTTCCCCACAAAAAATACGCAGAGAGGAACTCGAAGAACTTCGCCTGGAAATTTTATCGTTTTCCGAGAAGTACTCCATCAAGTGTGTGGAAAATGCCGCCCTGGAGGAGAAACTGCACTTGGCCAACAGCAGATTAAGGCACTTTCAGCAAATGCAACAGCTGGAACTGAGGTAAGACAACCCCCAATTCGCAGATCCTTGAGTCAGAAATAAAACATAAAAGCCCTTGCGACTTCTACAGAAATAAGCAATTTCGTGCCCATTTGGCATCGGAGGATCCAGCGAATGATGTGCATTTTGTGCAGGGCCTGACCACGGACCACACCAGAGAGGGTGCCCACTGTGAAGATAGCGAGGTAAGGAGAACATCCCCACAACTCAGACACATCCCATACAACATCCACAATCCAAAAAACAATTAACACTAGAATCCACACTTGTGACTAACACTTAATCGCCACAGCGACAGGCAACAACTAATCCACTTTGTTACCATCTTCCCACTATCCAAAAACCGACAACACAACACAAACAACACAACCAACCAAACAACCAACCAAACAACCAACCAAACAACCAACCAAACAACAGCCTGTACCAACCGAACCCGTACCCGTACCCACAGTACAGTGTGCACCAGAAATAGTGGCTGAACCAAGAACCACAACCACATTGGGAACAAGCAGCGATACCGAATCGATACCGAACCCCCAGAACCCACACCCAGCGCCAGCGCCAGCACCAGCGCCAGCGACAGCCAATGAATTCGTGGAGCAAAGCCTTTTCGTGATACCCTCCCATATGCTAAATTGTTCCCCAGTGCCCGCCGCAAACCAAAACCAAAATCAAAGCCCAAACTCTTCTGATCAGATGCGAGCGATCCAGAGCGAGTATCCAGCGCTCGAGGACGGCTACGAGCCGTGCTACCGGCCGTTCGATATATTTGCCATCTATCAGAATCGTTTGAGCTTCCAAGGTAAACGCAAATGCATTCTCTTCACGCTTCTCTTCGAGCTTCGGGGCCACCGCGCACTCTCTTTCACTGTACACACCTCTACACAAAGCTGTCCACTGTCTCCACCACTCACTCTCTCTGTCTCTCCCTCTCCCTCTCTCTCTCTCTCTCTGTGTCGGTGCATATGTATATCTTCCCCATCCTGCCACTCACTCCTTCCCTTCCCACTGTTTGTACTCTTCCTCATAACCAGATATTTGTTTGGCTTCCACTACTAACCCAAAGATGCGACATTCTGATTGTGTTTGATCAGCGGCTAATCTCGGAATCTCTGTTTTCTTTTGTGTCGCTTTGATTTCAGGTCTAAGAGGCAGCTCGACGTTTGGCAAAAGTCTGCGAAAATCCACAGCACAGACAGCATCACCAGCATCATCAGAATTAATAGCACCCAGATACAGCAGCAGCACCCATACAGCACCGACAACCAATCCAAATAAGCCCAGTCACAAGCAAATGTTTAAAACGGCTGCCGTCATTAACATGCAACTCCACGAAGAAAAAGCACAATGAACAAAATGAAAAGAAAATGAAAATGCAGAAGAAAATGCAATAACCAAGAGCAAACGACAAACGACAACAAAAAACAAAAACAGAACCAGTGGAACAACCAAAGAATAATTAGTGCTAATACTAAATAAATAATTATAAATATTTAAAATATATTAATAACCAAGCAACCAAATCAAAATCAAGCGGCACAACACATCATGATGTATGTACATATGCGAATAACATCTATATCTAACAGAGCGCAAAACTGGTTGAGAAGATCATAAGGAAGGAATGATGATGATGATGATGATGGTGATGATGATGATGTTGGTGATGTTGCAGCGTAACCCCCCATCCCTGAAATTGATTGAAAGAGAGCTACCAAATGAGGAGTTCCACTAGCCCCAACTGTTCACCCCCCTCCAAGGCATACTGGAAGGGACGTCGAGCAATGGACAACAAATCAAACTAATCCCCCAACATACATGGCAGCAATGTTGCTGCCGCGTCATCAAGAAACCACAATTTTGGGCCAAATTTATGTATTTATCGTCTATCTATTCTACCATTGTATCTGTATGTTATTCTATTGTACGTTTACCCAATTCTCTATGTCCACAAAATGTGTCATTTATTTATGATTATGTAGTTCTTAGGTCCTCGAGTAGTACTTTTGACAAACAGATATCTGCTCTAAGTTGCTTTCGACAACTTGTTCTGTTTGTTTTCGTTTTTTTTTTTTCTGATGTGTATTTCGATGCCTGAACCTGCACCAAACTCAGCTTCGTGTGGCACCAACGACTCCTCCTGGGAGGAGGAGTCACCGCCCGGGCTTTGAATGCTGCTCTGGCGGAGGAAGCCGAGGTCGGTACAGGTTCAGGTTCCACCCTAAATTCCACCTAAATTAATGCAATTTTAATCTAGCTAATTAAGCGGGGCAACAACAAATGTTAATATTATTTACCCATTAAGTCGTTATTTGTGCAACAAAAATAAATTCTATAAGCAATGTTTATAATTTGACAACAAAAAACCCAAAACAAAAAAGTTATTTCTCTTGGGCTCGTCCGGGATTTGAACCCGGGACCTCCCGCACCCTAAGCGGAAATCATACCCCTAGACCAACGAGCCGGTTAACGTTGGACCGTCCAAAAGCCTATTTCCGTTACCAGCAGCCTCGAACGAGTTTTGGTTACATGGCCAAAGAGAAAACTCTTTGATTTTGATAATGCAAGCAAACCAGTTTCCCCAAGGTATTTTATTTCTTTGAAAATCACACCAAAACTATATAAAAAGTCATCTAAATTGGATTTGTTTTATGATTCGATGCCTTGCGATGCAGATCAACTGGCTCGTTGGTCTAGGGGTATGATTTCCGCTTAGGGTGCGGGAGGTCCCGGGTTCAAATCCCGGACGAGCCCAAGAGAATCAATTTTTTTGTTTTTTTTTCACTTATAGAATTTATAAAAACTAAAGTTTAAATAAATCGTTTGATTTTGATTGTAGAAATGTGTATTCTTTATTTTACTAAGAAATTGAATAATATTGTGTGATGGGGATATGATATTCATTCTGGCTTCATTGCAAGTTAATATTCTCTATTTCTTCTCATTTTCTTCATTAATAATTTTTAAATGCAATTTAATTATTCAAAAAATATAAGAAGAGAAAAAAAAGTTATTTTACTTGGGCTCGTCCGGGATTTGAACCCGGGACCTCCCGCACCCTAAGCGGAAATCATACCCCTAGACCAACGAGCCAGTTGACGTATGGGCGGTTAAAATACGTTTTGTTATGGCCGCCACTCCACGCGCAAGTGCATATAAAGCTTTTGACTGCGGAAGACGCAAGCTTTCCAGGAAAATCGTAGAAATTGGAAAAAAAAAACGAAAGCGCAATGAAGAGTCGCGGACTCATTACATGCCATTTCCAGTAATTTCTGCCATAGCCAGCAAAAAGAGATACTGCATAAATGAGCGCGGATTCAGCAGACAGTGGAGTCGAGTCGTATAGGAGGAGTGGTTCCAGGCAGTCTGCCGCTTCAGCACAATTCCTGTAAAAACAGAACCAACTAAGCAGAAACATGCGCGTAGCTGGAAATCAGAAGTCCCATTCCATAAATGTCGACTAACGTTCCCTTGGGACGTGCGATTGCGAACTGCAGCGACAGACCTGGCAGGCCCTTTGGAGGAGATTTTAAAATGCAGAATGCATTTGCTGTTATGGAGTTTTTCCTGGGAACTGTGGGATCTTGCTTTGGCCTGCAACCCATCGACATATGGAGTTGGGCTGTGTTCAGTTCAGTTCAGTTCAGTTTAGTTCGGTTCGGTTCCTTGTGGACGCATTGCCTTTTTTGTAATCCCCGCCGTCCGAGTGTGACGTCATTTGGGATGAGATTGGCTTCAACTTTTACCAATTCGAATTGGCATCGGATCGGATCTGCCGTTTCCCATTCCATTGCCTTAATTCGCATAATTGTTTTGCTACTTGGGAAGCAAAACCACAACAAAAAAAAAAGCGGACTAAACCAAAGCGAAACACAACAACAAAAACATTGTTAAAATTAGTGAAAATTACAGGCCGCTGTTTGACTTTTGAATCACGATTTTCACTTCATTGGCAAGCAATCGATACAATTTGTTTGATTTCGGCTGCAGTTTTCCCTTGGCTTTCGTTGGCTTTTCTTTGGCTGTCCCTGACCCTTGGATCGCGCAACGTGGCCCAAAACAAATATTCCTGTGTGGCGCTTTGCTTTCAACTTGAAAATGGCTAACAATCTCCATTTTATTTGATTATCTCTTCAGCTGCCGGCGGTTGCGGTTGGTGTGACGTGACGGAATCGAAATTACTTAATTCGCCCGATTGGATAAATCGATGTTAGTGCCATCAGATCAGATCGGATCAAGCGGGGTTAACCGGAGGCCGAGAGCAGGTGAGTAGTGATGGGTCATTGAACCCTGAAAGTGAATGCTAGAGAGAATCAGAATGTGGGTCATTCGGAATGCTGTGCACTGGCTGGTCATCGATAGCCGTAACAAGTCCATCAATAATGAGCATGGACGGGTGGAAGTCGTCCGCCCCATCCAATCTTCCCGGCAATTGGTGGCCTCCACCGGCAGCACCAGCAATTGCATGTTGGCCGGCACAAAGACATCATTACCATGTAGCACACCTGCAATTACCATCTAGTCAACAGTCCAGTGCATGCAATTTTCCATCTCCCATATGTACATTTGTGCACACAATGCTGCCCCGCATCTCTGATACGCAGCGAGAATTTCTATGGCTATGGGTATGGGAACGTGTAACTAGAATGGGAATGCTAATGGGTATTCTCAAGATCTACTTAAAACCATCTTACATACACGATGGCACCGCTCTACATTTCCACTTCCATGAAAGAAGTTAATAGGGTGCTCAAAATGTACTTAAGATTGTAAATCTTACAACTCTATCGCATGGCATCTCGGCTCATAATCCTTTCTAACTAGAGTTCAGGCTCAGGCCAATTAGAAGACTTGAACTCTGGGGCGAATTTCCGCAGGCCAGAGAAATTTATGGCACTGAAGGCACGCTCCCTTTCCCTTTCCCACCCCCAATCCTATCCCCCCAACTAATTAAACACTGGCTCGTAAATTGTTATGATATACCATAAAAGATACGACAGTAAATCTTTCACCAACTTCAAAGGAAGTTTCGCTGGGCTCTTTCTCTCGCGGCTCGGCTTCGGTTCTTAACAAGCGCCAAAAACAAAATCACCGCAAATTAGAACAAACCCATCACGATCGATTACATTAAATAATGCTGCCGCTGCGGCCCTGGCCCAGGCCCAGACCCAGAGCCAGGCCATGTGGCTGTTCCTCTGCAACAGATTCTAACAAACAGCGACAACATCAAAGGCCCATTGCAATGGTAAAGGCAAAGGCACCAGAGCCACGACCCACTTGGCCCCGTCTCGGGAACAGGGAACAGGGAATCGGGAGCCGGGAACCGGGCTCTGACTTCAACTTCATTGAGGCATAACGTTCGCCTCGGATTCGCTTCGGATTCGGATTCTTTGGGCCTGTTATAACGGCCACGAAATCGCGCGCCCCAAAACAATGCCACAGCAGCGGCAGCGGCAGCATCCACAACTTGCGCAGTGGCACAAACGGTAGCTGGCGATGATGTTGCCCCGCTCCGTGGCTACAGCTACAGCTGGCAACATGTTGAAAAGGGAAAATTGTTTCGTTTCGTTTCGATTCGATTTCGCTCTGCCTTCGCCTGCCTCTCTCAGGGGATATTATGTTTGGTAGCTGTTAACATAAATTTATACTGCCTTTAAACTAATTGACGATGACAACTTCTGTGGAGCATGCAGCAGCAGTGGCAGCAGAGGCATGCCGCATGCGCTGGCATACTTTCCTAGTCCACTCATCCTTGTGGCGCGGACTGTCATCGGGACATTGTGGCATTGTGGGGCTGGTCGCCAGGCTCTGGCAATTTACGAGTGCCAAAGTCTTGGCATGCCTCAAAGCATTCACCAAATGATTCTCTGGCAGTTGAACATTTCATTCAATAAGCAAGTTAATTGGAATGGATTATCGTAAGGGATTATCCTTCAGGCAGATCATGTCACTACCAAGGAGTTGGATGGGATTGGAGATACAGGGAATATTCATTTCAAGCCATTTTAAAGGGTATTTTCGGAGCGATTTTAAGGGTTTGTCCTCCTCTTTCCTTCGCTCTCTTGGGATATTCATTCGCTTCTTTAGACGACTCTAGCTGTGTCCTAGTGGAACGTGGAATCCCCTCCCCCTCTGATAGATCGCACGGATCTACCAAAATTTTGCGCCTGACTTCACCTGACTCCGACTCCGACTCCGAGTGGCAGTGGCACTGGCAGTTAAGATTCAGTTTCATTAGATTTTCCATTTCCATTTTCATAAACGTGTACGATCATCAATTGTCATTAGTGAAATTAAAAGCCGGCGAAGATAAAGTGCCGTCTGTCAAAGTGGCCGGAGGAAAGTTTTCGGTTGGGC